CATAATCTTTTCAATATTTTCCTAAAATCCAAAATTCAACATTTAATCAGCTTCATCCAATACAACCACTTAAATTTCATCTAATTTTAGAACCTTTCTTTCTAAAAGATCTTATATTCTTCCAGGTGTTCCTACTACTATTTCGCATCCTTATCTCACTTAATCAATTTAGTTTCTAAGATCTGTACCACCATATATACTATATATCCTGTATTCATGTTCTTTATGTAAAATAGAATTGAATTAAGTAGTCACTTGGATTGCCAATTCTCTTGTTGGTAATAATACTAATACATAAGGATTTTTATTTTATTTTAATCCTAGTCCTCGTATTCTTTCAAGAATTGGAAGACAATACGCAAGAGTTTTACCTGAACCTGTTCTATCCTACCCTATTATATCATCTCCATTATAAATGGTTTCAAAACATTATTATTGAATTGGAAATAAATTGGTGAAGCCACGACTCTTTCATATTAATATTAAAAATCTTACTTCTAAAACTTTTCTGGTCTATTTGTTTTTTATATATGCTTTCAAGTTGCTCTCTTCATTTCCTTTGATCTTTTTAAGAATCTCTGGTTCTAATAATTCAGAACTTTTTCTTCTAGTTAACATTAATTGTAAATCACAATTTATAATTTAATAATTTATAATTTTTATTATTTCTTTCATCTTATCTTGAATTTATGATTTGCTTCTACTACTTTATTTTAATTTCAATTTATATAAATTAATCATTATTTATAAATTCAAATTATTAATAGAATTTTTATATTTAATTCCTTTATTTTGAGAAATAATACCTTAACAAATTATTTTTCAATCAATTTTACCAATATTTATCAAATATTAAAAATAAATTAAGAAAAGAATGTCTTATTTACTATTCTGCTATTTCTAATATTATTCAATATTTATATTTAAAATAAAATGAATTATATTCAATTAATAATAAACTAAATAAGTGTTTAATTTTAAAAAATTAATATCTTTTTAATAAAACCAATAATAAAAATATTATTAAAACTTTAGAGTCTAAAAATATTTTATCTTATAGTATTTCATTAGAATTATGTTTGTAAAATGTCTTTATTAATAAAATATGATAACTTAATAATTTTTTGTTTATATTCTTGATATTAATTTATTTTTTTTCTTTATTAATATAATGTTAATTAAAAAAGATATAATAACTTAATATTAATTATTTTATATATTCTCTAAGATATTTTTAATTTTTAATCTATAAATAGAACAAAATAGAATGTTATTAGAAACCAATTCAAAAATTAATGAAAATGGAATCTAATTCATTAAACTTTAATGAAATTGTAAAAATTTTAAATGATTATTATTTATATTATGATTATACTACATCTAAATATAATAAATAATATATTTAATGTATTCTACATCTTGTTCTAATAAATATTAATGGAATTCATGAAATATATTATTTATTTTAATAAATAAATAATAATATATTATTCAGTTTATTTGATTTTCATTAATAAATAATAAATTATCGATTCAGTTATTTATATATATTAAAATCATCAAAATAAAGAAATAGAAAATCATATTGATCTTAGAATCTAAGGAGCACTATTTAATGATTAAAGTTTTTGGAAATATATACCATTTGAAAATAATCTTAATTGATAGATAAAACAAAATGCTTAAATGCATTTTAAGATTAGTATAAATTTAGAACTGCAATATTAGAATTGGAATGAATAATATTTTGATAATTTAATGAAATAAGGATATTTATAAGGTGGAATCAAAGATAAAAGAAATTGATTTATATGTTAAATTGAAAATGAAATATATATAATTAGTCGTAATGTGATAAATCTTACAAATTTGTAATAAATGATTAATTAAATTTGGTATAAATGAATTGTATTATATATATAAAATTCGAAAATGATATGAAAGGCTATATAAGTATTTATTATAAGCTATAAAATGATAATTATTAAAAAAAATATTTAGATAAATGATTTAAGATTCTATATTTGCTGAATCCTTTTGGAATCCAGTTTAAGGTAAATGGATGATGAATTCAGATGATGAAGAAGTAAATTATTTTGATTAATTTGAAGGAATAAACATTTGAGCTTTACTCTGATGACAACCTATATAAATTTAAAGTGATATCAGGTCAATTATATGCCAATAGTTAATATATAAATTTAGTGGAAACATATGTTAATTTAGATGAGAGAGGAGTGACTCTTCAAAATAAATTTGGTTAAATAAATATCAACGGGCCTAATTTATAGTAGTTTTACTAGATAATTAACTAAAAATGCATACACTTGGATATTCAATAGTACTATGAAATTGAGAAAGTGTTGTTCTAATTAGAAAAATTCTCAGTAATATTTTGTTGTAATGAAATAGATATTGTAAGCTCGAGATAAAATGAGTGGGATGATTAAATCAATAAAAAAGTATTCAAAATCTGAAGGAAAAGAATATTTAAAATGGATAATTAGGAACTAAAAATATGAATATATATATGAAGATGAACAATATATCTATATTGTTATTTCATATTTAAATGGAAAACCTATTTAAGAATTATCCTTTGAATTATAGTATTTTGGTTTATTAAAAATGTTGTACAAATACCATAATGAAGGATTCATTCTAAATCAATTTAAAGTAAATATCTTATTTATATTATTATAGATTTCAAATATCATTCTGTTAGATGATAATTGCAATATGGAAATCTTAGATAATAGTATGATTGAAAGAATGACATATGAATATTCTAAAGAAATATTTTAAGATGTTCAATTAATTAAGGCTTACTTAATTACAAAGTATGTTAATTAATTATATATAATAGATTCCCTGATTAAAAAGATATTATATAAGAAATGATTAATAATAATGTTTAATCTGTTTAAGAACTCTTGTTTAATTAAATATTTATCAATTACTTTGGAGAAAGTGAATTCTATAGATTACTCAATTCATAACCATATTAAAGATAAAATCATTTATCTTAAAATTCTAAATTAAATTTATTAGAAACATTTAATACAATTAGATCAAGTATTATGGATTCATCTGATGAATTTGAAGAAGTTCAATCAAATAAATAATTTTATTTTTCATCTTAACAATTTGATGATTCTCCAATGTTATCTCCTAATATAAAACCAAAACATTAATCAAGATTATCAAGTAGATAAGTAGTTTTGGAAACACTTCTATAAGAAAATATCATAACATAATAATAATTTTAATAATTCTATAAAGAAGAGGATTTTCAAAATGAATAAGAAATTAATGAATTTAGTGAAATGCTTACAAAAGAAATAGAGAACTCATCTCTAACTACTCCTATCTAAAGTGATGTAATATCAAATATTAATTATAATAGTCTAATACGACTTGTCCAAATACTGTTATTATTCACAGTAAGAAAAATGCAGCAAATCGCATTTGCGATATCCTACATGAAGCTTAATAAGAATTAATTTAAGCAGCCAAGAAACCATATAATGTGAATAAAGTGTAGAATGTTAGGAAAAATCTATTTAATTTGCATTGATATCTGGATCAACCTTATTCATCATTTTTGTTAATATTTTTATAATATATACTTTCAAACATTTTCATTCCATTTTTAATAGTATAAATAATCAAATAACAAAATTTATTAATATCTTTATTATTATACTCATAATTAATCTATATTTTATATTATTATTGATATATTTAAATTCTTAAGCCATAAATTAAATTATTTTTAATGTAAAGTGCTCTTGTATATATAACTTTACCTGGTGAAAGAATACCATTAAAGAGTTTAGTTATTGGCAATACAATAAAAACTAATAAGTAAGATGTCAACATTACTAAATCACTTGAAATAGAAACAAAACATGCAGGTTGGTTTTGGATAGATTAATAAAAAATTGCTATTTGTCATAATCCAATATATTACACACCTGAAATTGAAGATTATGTGATTGTCTAAGTTACTGGGAAAAATAGTGAATATTATTTTTGTGATCTTGGGAATGGATTAATATATAATCTAAATTAAATGGATTTTGAAGGAGCAACAAAAAAGAATAAACCAAATATTTAAATTGGATAATTTTTATATGCTAGAGTTATTGAATTGAATCATTATTTAAAAGGCAAATTGTCATGTATAAATCCTTAGAGCAAAAAAGAATGGGTAATAATATCATATTTAATTTATAGACAACTGGAGAAAATTTATTTAGAGAATTAATTGGAGGAGTTATTGTAGATTTGCCTTTAAATTTTGTATAAAGTCTTTTAAGTTCTTAAACTAAACCAGAATTATTTAAGGAAATAAGTAAACATTCTAGTTTTGAAGTTTGTGTTGGTAAAAATGGTAGAATTTGGATAAAAGGAAATGATGCTGTGTTAATTATTAATTTATTAAAACGATGTGCTCCTTTATAATTGGAATAACAATTAAATTTGATCAATAAATTTGCATCATAGTTTTAGTAATGAAACTCAATATAAATCATTTAATATATTTAATTCTTTTACTGCTATCCTAATCAAATTTACTAATTAATATGAATGAATAAAAGAATATGATGAAATCAATTTTCATAATATGAACTTTTTATTTTAACATATATATATTTTCTAAATAATTATCAAATAATTAATGTCTTTATTTTTTTATAAAAAATTAGAATATAATTTAAAATATATGTGATTTATTATAATTATATAATTATCAATCATTCATAATAAATTTTAATTGTAGTGTGTAACAAATGAAAGATTTTGTTGAATTAGTTATTCCCATAATTTGATTATTTAATATTTCTAAAAATCAAATTGAATATTTAATTAAATAAAAATCTAGTTAATTATTTTGATAAATTTCTTTGATATAAACTCATTACTTATTTTAATAAACTTTATATCATAGAATTGATTAGATTATTATACTAGAAAAAATAATTAATCATAGCAGTTCATAAATTATTATTTTTAATACTATTTTTCAATTTAAAGTCTTAAATGTTTGAGATACTTTACATTTTACTGCTTAGATCAACTCCATTATCATCATCTTCATCAATATTACCACTTGATTCTTCAAGATTGAATTTAAATTCAGCATTTCCACCTATATTTTATAGCATATCTTAATTAAATGCAGAATTTCTTGAACTGACTTAAGCATAGATAATACTATTCTAATGAGGATCTGGATCATTATAATCTGTTTAAGTTTTAAATGGATTATGATTGCTATTATTAATAACACACATATAAGAGCCTCTATTATTTTTACTTCTTAATTTTTAACTCTTTCTTGCAGTATATTATTTGCTTTATCTACTTGCAATACTAAAGACATCAGCTTAACTTTCTTCACACATTAGAATAGAACCTTAAGATATCAATTTCTATTTTTCTTTAAATGCTGATACTATTTAACTCAATTCTATTGATTTCTTTTGATTAAGATTCTTTTCCATTTTCATTATCTAAAATAAATACTACATAAAATTACACGATGTCTAGCTTTCAAATTCTTCATTTTTGTCTCTATATGGAGATCTAATTATTCAGTCAAGGCTGAATATAAACTCATTAGATCTTAAGTTACTTCATCAAATAATTATTGAGATTATTCAACATAATCCATTACTTTCTAATTATTTTCTAATAATTATTCTAATCTTCTTTCCATAAATTTTAATTCTTTAATATTTAATTGTGTTTATTCTTTTTTATTATTAATAAATTCTGTATCATTTTCCATTACAAATTAATCCTTCAATTTTTAAATTTCTATATTTTCTTCATGTTCTTTTAATGTTTAAGTCAAATTCATTCCCATAACTGCAACAGGTCTATTGTTATTTTTATTATATACAATGAAATAGATGTAATTCCAAGAAAGGCTGCTATACAAGCTATAAATTTCCCTGGAACACTCAAAGGTACTTTATCACCATATCCAACTGTAGTCATTGTTGCTATACACCACCAAACAGCTTCAGTAATTGAATGTATTTTTTATTCATCTTCAATAATTTGGTTATCATCATATTCCAAATAATACATTACAATGGAGAAAAATAAAACCAAAAAAAAGAACATTGTAATCAATATTATTATGTCTTTGGCTGAATGCTTTACTGTATCTACCTTTTTAAGTGATTCATATATTTACAATCATTAACATATCCTTCATAAATCTTGAAAGTTTAAATAATCTAAACACTCTCATAAATCGTATAATTCTAATTACTCTTAATCCAGATAGACTAGCACCTTCAAATATGAGATTAAATAAAAAAGGCATTATTGCAAGTAAATCTATTAAATTTAAAGGAGAAAAAATAAATTTGACTAATTTAGAATCAAAAGCAGTTGAACTAAACATTCTCAATAAATATTCTAAACCAAAGAAAATGAATAGATAATATTCTAAATAAAATGAAATGTCGTCATATTGAGAATTACTTTCTATTTTATTATTAAATATCATACTGTTTTCCATTAATGAATCTACAATAATTGCAACACATGATAACAATATACTAGTTAATAATAGGAATTGCAAACAATAAGCTATTAAAGAAGAGTTAGGATCTTCTAATAATATGTAAATATATTATTGCATTCCTTTACATAATACTTTCATTTTTCCAAACAGACTCTAGTTTTATAGTTTTCTTCTTAATGAGAAGTCTTCAGTTCTGAATTTCTGTATTTTACTTTTAAAAATCATTTTTTATTAAGATTCATTCACTTTTTGTGTTTCATCTTAATCTTATATTTGTAAAGCATTCTATCTAGGAGAAATGAATTAGCTCAATTTTGAATCTTAATCCATTCAATTCTAAAATTTAATATTTAATAAATAATTATATAACTATTTTAATAANAAGTTACTTCATCAAATAATTATTGAGATTATTCAACATAATCCATTACTTTCTAATTATTTTCTAATAATTATTCTAATCTTCTTTCCATAAATTTTAATTCTTTAATATTTAATTGTGTTTATTCTTTTTTATTATTAATAAATTCTGTATCATTTTCCATTACAAATTAATCCTTCAATTTTTAAATTTCTATATTTTCTTCATGTTCTTTTAATGTTTAAGTCAAATTCATTCCCATAACTGCAACAGGTCTATTGTTATTTTTATTATATACAATGAAATAGATGTAATTCCAAGAAAGGCTGCTATACAAGCTATAAATTTCCCTGGAACACTCAAAGGTACTTTATCACCATATCCAACTGTAGTCATTGTTGCTATACACCACCAAACAGCTTCAGTAATTGAATGTATTTTTTATTCATCTTCAATAATTTGGTTATCATCATATTCCAAATAATACATTACAATGGAGAAAAATAAAACCAAAAAAAAGAACATTGTAATCAATATTATTATGTCTTTGGCTGAATGCTTTACTGTATCTACCTTTTTAAGTGATTCATATATTTACAATCATTAACATATCCTTCATAAATCTTGAAAGTTTAAATAATCTAAACACTCTCATAAATCGTATAATTCTAATTACTCTTAATCCAGATAGACTAGCACCTTCAAATATGAGATTAAATAAAAAAGGCATTATTGCAAGTAAATCTATTAAATTTAAAGGAGAAAAAATAAATTTGACTAATTTAGAATCAAAAGCAGTTGAACTAAACATTCTCAATAAATATTCTAAACCAAAGAAAATGAATAGATAATATTCTAAATAAAATGAAATGTCGTCATATTGAGAATTACTTTCTATTTTATTATTAAATATCATACTGTTTTCCATTAATGAATCTACAATAATTGCAACACATGATAACAATATACTAGTTAATAATAGGAATTGCAAACAATAAGCTATTAAAGAAGAGTTAGGATCTTCTAATAATATGTAAATATATTATTGCATTCCTTTACATAATACTTTCATTTTTCCAAACAGACTCTAGTTTTATAGTTTTCTTCTTAATGAGAAGTCTTCAGTTCTGAATTTCTGTATTTTACTTTTAAAAATCATTTTTTATTAAGATTCATTCACTTTTTGTGTTTCATCTTAATCTTATATTTGTAAAGCATTCTATCTAGGAGAAATGAATTAGCTCAATTTTGAATCTTAATCCATTCAATTCTAAAATTTAATATTTAATAAATAATTATATAACTATTTTAATAAGTATTAGAATAATTATAGAATTCATATTGAAGATCAATCAATTTTACAATAAGTATCCTATAATAGGGCAAAATCAATTAATAAGTTTTAATTCATAATTATTTAATATTCAATAACCTTTCCTCTTCTATTGATCAGGCTCGTGCATTTGATATTAAAAATAATTGTAATTCATGAATTGTTATCCATATTGATAATAAGAATTTTGAAGTTCTTCATATTAGAAATTTTGATTGTAGTAATATTATTAATCCATTTGATTTACTTATAATCCTGGATCTGGTGTCTATGAACTAGATGCATAAGTTTTTCGTCGACTTAATTATAAAATATTAAATACGTATTTGGAACATAGCCTTTACCAATACCATAGATTATGTTCATATTTTTTTCAAAATCACTTTATAAATCTGGGAAACAAAATTTCAATTGATAATAGCATTATAATGTAAGCAAAGCATCTGATCCTGCTTGATGTTCTGGTCCTATACGAGTCACTTCAACTTTGGTAGCTAATCTACTTAATCCAGTATCTTTATATTTTTGATTGTCTTTTAAAATATATTTCAAATCATAAATCTATGGAAAATAAAGTTTCATCATTTTATAAAATTCTTCTTATGTATCTGGAATTCCTGAATGATGAAACAAATGTAATAAATAACCAAAATCAAATTCCCCATGAAATACTACATATTTAATTTCATCATTTAATATTAGTCCTTATTTACATTATATATAATAATACCACTTCCAGTAATTATTTCACAAAATAAAGAATAATCTATTCCTTTAGATGCTAAATCATCAAACCTAATTCCTGCCTATTCTAACATAACCTTGACAGGATTCATTAATTAATCATATCTAATTTTAATTGTCTAAATACTATGAATTAAATTTAAAATGAAATTGCCATGTGTTCTTAACTAAAGGTACTTCTCCAGCTTCATTTGCTAAGCTTATTCCAAGTTATATAAGTTTGTATTTTTAAACATTTCTTACTAATTATTAATATTCATAATCCTATTATTTTTACATTCAACTCACCTTATCATCATTTTCTGGTTGATCATACTCTGTTCCTGGAAATTCTGTATCCTAAATTCATTAAAATCATTACTAATGATATAACATTAAATTCTTCAATAAGTGAAGCTATTTCTGTAATTTCAGCCATGAAATTATGAGCCCATACATCAATAATATTAGTTTTAGATAAATGTGTTAATTTTACTCTGGGAACAGATTCTTTAATCTTGGTTATTTAAACACATTTACTTTCCAACTCATCTTTTAATATTATTACAATAATTAAATAATTTGAAAGTTAATTGTAATTTTATATTATTCAATGTATTAATAGAATCAATAAGATCTTCCCCATAAAACATATCTTTTTGCTTATTATCCACAATGGAAACATTTCTCTCCTTCTTTAATTTCATCCTATTTCAATGGCATACATAAAGTTTTGGCACTACCAGTAAGTTGTACTTATCCATTAATTTCTGAATCCTTTTCTTTCGATTCCATTCCTGATTTACCTTTAACTTACTATTCACATTCTTATCTTTCACACCTATATATATATATTAAATACCATTTAGTTAATATAGTATTTCTTTGATTTAATTAAATCATAAATTCTTTCCAATTATCAGCTTATTTGATTCTTTAATTTAGTTCTATTTTAGCTTTCTCAAACATAGCATTATGAATATTATCTAGAATCTAATTTAATTTATTTATTTCTTCTATTTTTATTTAATATTTCTTATTGTCAAATCTTTAAACAACTCTAACTTCATTATTTTTAAATTCTCCTGGTCCAATCTCCAATCTAATTGGAACTCCCTTTTATTCCCATTTATTAAATTTCCATCCTGGAGAATAGTTATCTCTATTATCTAAATGAACTCTTAATTTCTATTTAATTAATCTAATAATTTATTAAATTATAAATACATCTATTTTATTTATTCACATCTTTCATTTAATTATTTCTCATCAAGATCTTTATGTATGATTGGAATGATAACAATTTAATATTTAGCAATTCTTGGTGGTAATACCAATCCCTTATCATCACCATGAAACATAATCATAGCACCAATAGATCGTGTTGTTAAACCCCAACTTGTTTACCAAGCAAATGCTTTTTATTTCTTATCATCTTCAAAATTAATCTCAAACATCTTGCTAAAATTTTATCCTAAATGATGTGATGTAGCTCCTTATAATCCTCTTCCATTCTATGGAATTATAGTTTCTACTGTAGTAGTAAAATCCCCTCCTGCAAACTTCTCTGATTCTGTTTTAATCTATTAATATTATTAAATTTAATACTCCTTTAATTACTGGGACCGCTAATAATTCACCATATACTTATTCATAGAAATCTAGAATAGTATAAACTTATTTAATTGCTTCCTCTTTAGTAGAATGGGCTGTATGTCCTTCTTACCATAAGAATTCTCTAGTTCTAATAAAAGGTGTTGGAAATTTAAATTCCCATCTCACTATATTTGTCCATTAATTAACTTTTAATGGTAAATCTCTATGACTCTACACCCATTTTGCAAATGCTGGATACATAATTGTTTCAGATGTTGGTCTAATAGCCAAGGGTTCATTCAAATCACTCTCACCATACTTAGTTACCCAAGCTACTTCTGCCTTGAATCCCTCTACATGTTCTTTTTCTTTATTTAAGTGTTTTGCTGAAATAAACATTGGGAAATAAGAATTTTCAACATCTTCTGTTCTAATTAGATCATCAAAATATCTTTATATTTATTCCCATATGAAATATCCCCATGGTCTCAAAATATAGCAGCCACTAACATCATAATATTCAATCAATTCTGCTTTTCTTATGACTTATTGATACCATTCTGAAAAATCAGATTTCTTTACTGTAATAGCTAAGGTTTATAGATTTTATTAATCATTTGATTATTATTTTAGTTATTATAATTGTTATTCAGCTTCTGCATCTGTTAATTTAATTATTGTGTATTGTCTATTTAGAGGTTTCAAGAATTTATTCTATAAATCATCTAGAGAGATTTCAACAGTTGTTGTATTTTCGATTGGATGTAATGCTACTCTTTAAAATTTAGTCAATTCTTCATCAATGATAATATTTTTGACCTATATTATATTAAAATTTAAATACTCTATTATTTGAATCATTAACAATAGCAAAAGGGTTAATATTTCCTTTACTAGACTTTAGAGCTTCTAAAATTTGTTCTTCTTTACTTAATCTCATATTTCCTGATGATAATCCAAGAGTTTTCCAAAATAATTTTCCAACTTGAGTTGTGTGATTTGCCAAGATTAAATAATAATTTGACTATTTGTAAATTAGTGGTACTTTTTACTTTCTTATCAACATATAATAGATTCTTAACATAAGCTGTACCAGTAGTAACTTTAATTTTGATAACATCATCCATTGTTGGAACAGGGTCATGATGATGTGCAATATAGTTAATTCCTAATTTAGTTAATTAATTTAAGCAAGCTTATTTGTTTGGTAATAATAGATTATTCTCAATCAAAATTTTATAAATAATTTTTCTGCTTTTCCACATTAATATTTTTGTTAATTTAAGTCTTTAAAGCAACTAGTTTTTATAGAAACTAATATATTATGAAAATATTTTATATAAACTTTATAAATATGTTTATAATATACAGTATTCAATTATATTAGTCATGTTGGGATTTTGAAAATTAAAGAAATACTGATTATAAAGATGATTGATAAATTGAGAAATCATGGATCAATTTTCTTTAGACAAGTTCTGTTAATGAGACATATGTGTTGTAAAAATTGAAAGATTAACTTGGTATCTAATAATATTAAATATATATTAATTACATGAATTTATCCCTTAACTAAAATAGCAATCTTATCACATAAATTCTCTGCTACATCCATAATATAAGGAGTTATCATAACACTACTTTATTTTAACTGAACTCCAAATTTCAAAGTTCTCCACAAAAATCTTCTGACTATTGGATCAACTCCGGTAATTAGTTCATCAAACAATTGAATACATAGTTCTCCAATCAAAGCATTACTAACACATAATTTTCTTTTATTTCCTCATAATAATCGACCACTTTATCTATTCATATACTCTTCTAATTGAATTGTTTACAAAGAGTGAGTGTATATAAAATAAATACAAACCTATAACTGACTTTGTTAAGTCATCTCCAGATAATCCTTTCATTCTAGCAAATAAATATAAATGTTCTTTTGCTTTTAAATTCTCCCAAATGCAATCAAATTATGTACATATACCAACATCTTAAAATATCTCATGTTTTCAAATCTGTTAGGTCAAAAAAGTCTATGTATCTTCTATTTCTATAGTGAAACACTAACATTTTGTAGTGCAACACAACCATTCTCATATATTTCTTATAATCGATACATTTTTATAGGATCATTTGATTTTAATAAATTTTATTCTATTCTATAACTTATTTATCAACTCTAACACTTATGTTTACATCACTGTTCTCTAAATTATTACCTACTTTCTAATAAGGTGTTAAGAGGAAGAAAATGATTCCTTAATATAACATACAATTGAATAATAAAGAGTTTCAAGTTAAATGATGTGTTTGATTATTATTAGGATTTACATCTATTTTTATGATATTTTGGTAGGCTCTTTGGAATGAAAAAACTGCACTTAAAAATGAAAATACACATTCAATAGCTTTTATTAAAAATTCTATAAGTTTTAAATTTCTTATTCCCTTTTACTACAATAAAGCACATAAACCCCCAAAGCTTTAAGGTATAATTTTCTTGTCTGTAGATGTTTTGTTATACATTAATACTAGCAAAATATACTTACTTATAGTTATGTATTTAAAAATTATGTTAAATATTTATATAAAATTAAAAAAAATAATATATATTAATTAAATGAAAATAATATATATTAGCAAAACCAAAAGTAACAAATGAAAATAAAACATATCGCATATGATCAGTTACAAATGATAATTAAATAATGTAACTGAATATTACAAATGTGATTACAATAAAAGAACAAAGTAAAAAGTCAAATACATAAGTACCTATCCAAAATGGTAATACTCTACAACCCATTACTGTTAAAACATATTTTAAATTGAATTCTCTCTCTAACACTGATAATGTGATAAATAAAGAGGAATTAAAGTTAAATGCTAGAATTACAATTAATGATATAATCACCAATATAAAATATTATTTTTAATTTTTTATCTGATAGAAAGTCTAATTTGGGTTTCAATAACCATCCAAGAGCAAGGAATTATAATTGAAATATAATTACTGAATGTTCATGAAATAGTATAAAAGTTTCTTAAAAAAATAGCAGTAATTTATGATTTAAATGAATACACAGGTGGTTATTTAAACAATTTGGAATTTAATATCTCACTCTCTATAAAATCTCCCAGATATTTCTTCTTGATTATCTATCCATTCCACTTGTTGGTTGGTCTAAAAAGATAACCAAAGAACCACCAATCAAATGAATTAGCCAATAATAATTTTCTCTTACTACTTCCACTAAATTCTTTAATTAATTTATCCCTATCCTCTTTTATTTCAGTAACCTCTATGATTTCATTAACTTCTTATTGTAAATCCAAACCCTCTAATCTTTTGACTCTACCCATGAAAATGAGCATCTTTATATAACCTTTAAAAAACATATAGAACATATCATATTGTGGATATACCAACATTTTCTCTTATAGCATCTATATTCACTTTTAAATCAATCACATTAATATTATTGTTCCTTTTGTTTTCTAAATCATTCCAGTTAACATATTAATTGTTGTTGTCTTTCCAGCACCGTTATGTCCTTATAAACATAAAATCTACTATTCATATAATTATATTGTTAAATTATCAACAGCTTTAAATTCACCAAATTTCTTTGTTAAATTCTTAATAGAAACTGTATACTTTTTCCATATATTTAATTTCTGGTACTACTATAACCCTCATTATAATTATGAGAATGAATTCATCTAATAATGAATCATTCAAAATACATTTTTTTGATTTCCCAAATAATCCTAATAAAAGAATAATCTCCATATTCATTTGGAAATACTTGATACAAATAAAAAATAGGAGGAAATATAGAAATGATTCTATTCCTAATTTACAATGCTGCATTATATAATTGATAAGCTGAACTTATAGCTTGGAATTAAATAACCCTTTTTTTAATGCACTCATATAAATAAAACTAATTGAAGATTATGGAAATATTGACATACAATAGTAGAATAGAGATGAACTATTATTATTATTTAGATAAATAACTTTAAATACTCGATAAAAACACTAAAAATATTTTATATGATTTTGTATGAAATCCATAAATCCCCATCATTTATTATCAATGTCAATAACCACAAGAAGAATATTAAAGATATTGTATTCTAAAGAATATTTCTAACCCTCATACCATCATAGTTTTTATATAACCATACAGAATCCATCCAATTAAATAAGATCTTTATTTCATTCCCATATTCTTTTACGATTCTTTAAATCTCGTTGGTGTGCTAACTGCTATTGATAAAAATAGAGAAGCAATAAATCCTAAAAATTCTAATTAATCTTTTTAAGAGACAATTATCGCTGTTACTAAAGGTAATGTTAAATCAGATATATATTCTTTGTTTCTAAACGATTACATGAAATTTTTCACTAACAGAGCTCTAATTTATAGATGTCATCAAACCTTATTAATTAAAAATAATATAATAGAGTAATTCTTAAATTTTATATTCAAAGTTCTATTGGTGTAATCAATTTTTTTATCTCAAATTTAAATAGATTTTATTCTCTTTAAATGGTATCAAGTTCTCAAATTAATTATATCCCTCTCCAAATATCTTAAGCATTCTGCATCATTTTATTAAAGACTATCAATTTCTTAATTCTCTCAACCTATATATTATTTCACCAAATCCTTTTTTTCGTAGGCTTCCTTGTTCTTATTATAAACAATATTTTAAAATTTTGTATGAAAAGCTAAATTTGAATCATTCATTAAGAATTGTTTCTAATTTAGATTTCGTGATAATAATAGCAATTTCAATAATTTTTTGGAATTAAATTCATAATAAAATATAAGTAATCTTTAAAATATTGAGAATATCCATAATATTATTGTTTCAATGAAAAATTAAAGATTAAGAGAAAAGTCTACATCATCTAAAAAAATTTTTTTAATTATATTTATAAGAAGAGATATTTCTATTTCTTAAAATAAGATTACTTAGAAAATGCTTTTATATTAAATGTTTTTATCAAACCATACTGACTTTTTCATAACATTGAGAGAATTAAAAATGATTAACAAACAAAGACGAAAATATTTCTAATAATAATTAATATTATTTATTATTAATGTTCCACTTGTCATAAATGGATTAAATATTTTTAAAATCTTTAGCAGATGTTGTAAGAACTTCAAGGACAACGTCTCAGTATGATAAGTTAACATTTACTACATAAACAATAGCAGATATTAAAAATGAAATATAAAGTAGATAGGAATCAGTGAGATATTAAGCATTGCTAAAATTATTCTTTGTATTTAGATATTTCTATAAATAAGCTAGCTATGGAAGGGAATAACATAAGATGGGCAGAATTTCAAATAATAAATTTGATGGGAAGCGGTGATTTCTAATTAAAATTAGGTGCCTAATTAGCAGCACATTTAGTAATTGATAGTCAAAGTCAAGGTCTAATAATGGTTACAAATGTATTTTAAAAAGAATTTAAAAACGGTCATGTTGAATGTTCTGCTACTTTAAGTTGTTTGGGAACTATTGCTAATAAAGATTTATCAGATTCATTGCTGCCTCATGTTCTAAAACTTACTACTAACACGAAACCATTAATAAGAAAGAAGGCTATAGCAGTTTTATCGAAAATATTTACAATAAATCCATTGAACATCCCTGGAAATTTAGAAATGGTGATATAATAATTATAAAAAGAAACTAATATTTCTGTCTTGGCTTGCGGCATTAGTTTGTTTTGTTCAGTGATGAAAGTAGCACCAAAGCTCTATCCTTTATTTTTATCAATTGTTTATGATCAAATTTCTAAATAAAAATCAAATTGGTTGTTAATCAAATTAGTTAGAATATCAAACAAATTGATATCTTTAGAACCTAGATTTTAAGGTAAGTTAATTGAACACTACACAAGATTACTTAATTAGACAAATTCTAAATCCTTATAATATGAACTAATTTATTCAATAATGAAATATTTTAAAAATCATTCCTAACTTTATGAAAGTGCAGGAGATATTTTAAAATAATTTTTAAATCATTAAGACCCTAATTGTAAATGTATATATTTATTATTTAGTGAGATGTTTGGGATTGGAATGTTTGACACATATTTCATCATCAGCTGGTCTTATGGAATTTTAGGAACAAATTCTAGAAAGTTTTAAAAAAAGTGATTATTTTTCAAAACTATAAATTTTACAGTTGTTCAAAGATTTTACAAACTAATAGAACTTTTAAACTGTGATAGAATTCTTTATAAAATATTCAGATTTAGAAAGCAATCATAAAATTATTGAATCATTAAGTAAATAATAAGTATAATAAAATAGTTTTCATTATAATGAAAGATAAATTTATTAATGTTGATGATCCTGAAAAATTATTATTAATGTATATACCAGTGATAGCTTAAAAAATAGACACTATTGATAATGCCATTAGATTTAAGGAACTACTTTTTGAATTATTAACAAGAGTTCCTGGATTAAAAGTTTACTCAGATTAATTATGCAATCAAATACTTTAAACATATGCAATTTAATCTGATTCTTTATAAGGTCCTACTTTGAATATTGTTTAGAGACACACTTAATTAAAATACTCTTTAAATCATAGAGAAATAATTTTTAAATCTTTAATTATGATTGTGGGTGAATCAGTTAAATTATTGAAATTAGAAGCCCTTACAAATATAATTAAGTTTTTAGAATAGTTGAATATACTGAATTGTTATGAATCATCCTTATCTGATATAGATTCATTACTATTTAAAATATACATCCAAATAATCAAAACTGATCCTTCCAATGATCTTATTCCATAAATTGAATAATTAATTAAGAATATTTACATCAAATTACACAACATTTCAATTGTTAAAATTTCATTCTTTTATGAGTCCTTAATTTTAAATAAGACTAAAGACCAGCTTGATCAATTATATAATTTATATGCAGAAGATTTACCTCCAATTAATTTAGAAGTATTACAATATATCATTATTAAGGCACAAAAATTAATAAAGCCACCTGAAGGATTGGACATCAATTTATCATTTTAGATAGATATAGAAGAAATTGAGAAGATTAAAAATTCAAATAATGACTAACTAGAACAAAAACCAATAATTTAATAATTATAATAAATAGAATCAAATTAAAAAGAATAAGAAGATTAAAACACTCTAATATAGAAATAGGGAGAAAATGAAGAAGAATTAAAACCATTGAATAGTAAAATAGATCCAATTCCTAAGAAAATATTTACAATTAACAGAGATGAAGAATTGCCACCAGGTATAAATTAAAATGATATAAATAAATCTAAAGAAGAAGAATGATTAAATTATTTTATTATGTTCAAAAAGAATTTCTTATTATATATTGTAAAAAAAATAAGCATAGATAATTTATGAAATATAAATTATTTTAGCTTTTATTAATGAAGATTTGAATTTAAATCGAATAATATCCAAAAATTAGGTAAAATATAAAAGAGCATACATTAAGCCCAATATTTTTTGTGACTTAATAGGGTGCTTCTTTGAAAAAAAGTAAACATAAAAAAGAAAATTGTGTAACCAATTTGTAAAATAACTCGAAATTTACCAAAAGAGAGAAAATATTAATTGATATTAATTTTTTAAACTAGAAATACTAGAGTATCAAAAATAATTGAGAATATTTTGTAGTCAACTGTAACTATTCTATGTACAAGATATTAAATAAAAAAAAAAAAGATCAAATTTAAGTGCAAATACCTGATCTAAATTTTAATTCATTTATTTTTGATATAAATACAAGGTTTGTTTTATATTCATTATTAGTAGCGATAATCAAAATATACTTACTTTCTATAATGAAGAATTACCTAAAATACTGATTTATTTCTTTGAATAACTACTAAAAATGGCAACATTAAATGGAATAGTTCTTGATATATTGTCCCTATCACTGTTCAATATTATATAAAAATAAATACTTGTAATTGAACTTATTAAAAATGGAACATCTGAAGGAATTATAAGATAAATTCAATAATAAAAACAGATGGTTTGTTAATGAATAATTTGAAGAATAATTGTATAAAAAGAAAGAAACAGTTTTGAATTTTTTATGGTTTATACAATTTGATATAACGTTTTAAATATATATAAATGACTTAATTGAAATTATCATTAAGAGTGCTATTCTTCTAGCATTTTTAATTATTTTTCTAATTTATCAATTTCTAATTCTTATTCAGTAATTAAATTGGTTGCTTCCTCCTCAATTTTTTACCTTTCCTTCCACTCATCATTTAATTCCTTTTATAGATTCTAAATAATATCATTTCTTAAAATATTAAAATGATTACTATTAATTTTCAGGCTTATTGTTATCTAAATTTTCCTAAACATTGAATTCTTAATGATCATATGAATAATACATTCTAAACTATTTTAATGATTAACAATTTTTTTATCATATCGTCGCTCCACTACTAAATTTCATTTTAACCTCCAAAATCTGCCTATTCATTAAATTCTATAAGTTCTCGATATAATTTTGAAGATAGTTCATTCATCTAATTATGCTTGATATTTGGTATATTATCTAACTCTTACCTTTCTACTCTATATTGCTTTGATTCTTTAGGCAGAGCCAACCGAGAAGCACTTTTTATTAAAAGATTTATAACTACCTTTGACTTTTTTGTAATTTTGGCTAAGGAGCAAAACTTGATTCTTTAGTTTCGAAGAGTTTGGGAGTCAGAGTCTCCTCAACTTTAAAACTGTTTTATTTATTAAATTTGTTTAATTCACAATGCTTTGAAAACAATCCAGGTTTAATATTACCTCCCAATCCACTAGGTGATAATATTAATTAATTATTCTTTTTTTTTTTTTTTGAACTTAATAAAATTAAACAAAAGAAAACTACTTAAATAAATAGTTAAATATGATTTTTTTTTTTTTAAATATCAGTCTTTGAGGTTAGGGAATTACTAATTTTATATAGTAATAAAGTAGTGTTAATGAGATTATGAAAGTAACTAAAAAATTAATTCATAAAAAAATATCTATTATATTTAATATAGTTTAATAATAAGTGTTATGAGTAATATGCAACTATTTAATAATTGTAAATAAAATAATTTTCTGATAGTAATATTGTAAGAATTATAGGATATTAAAAAGTAGTTATATATTTATAAATATATTATTTATATAAATAATTCTTAGAAGTAATCAAAATTAATATATTAGTAAATTAATTTCACACTCTTTATAACTATTTTAAATATTTAGAGGAAATTCAAACCCTATTATTATAAATATGATTCGTTATATATCTAAATTATTCTGAATATCGTTAATCTTAAATAAAATACCAAACGAAATTACATTTCTTTTTTTTATTATTGTATACATGTACCTTTTTTAATATAAAACTCTAATTTTATAATTTTAAACTACAATTCAATGTAATAAATTTGTAAAATCTATATTATTCACTTAAGTATATAAATATTATGCCTTTGTAAATCAGTTTCAATGTTTTTTCTTTTTACAACTAAAATCAATATAATTGTTTTTTATAAGGAGTGCAAAAAGGGAAATTTATTTATCAAAATTTAACAATTTTACATTATTAATCAATTAGCTTTCAAATCTTATAAAGGATTATAAGAGATAAGAACAAATATAGAAGATATCCTTCAAAAAATAACTTGATTATAAGCATGCTATTCTTAAGAAAATTGTACCAGAAAATTAATACAACATTACTTTTTAAAATAATTATCTTCTTATAAATTTTTAAGCTGAATAACAAATCGAATGATAAAAGCAATTATTTATAACAATCACAAAGAGTATTTTCAAAAATCAAAAAGCATTTAGGATAATTTTAAGATTTAGAATAAAATTCATGATTTTAAAAATGAAGAGATAAATGATTTGTTAAGGTTTCACATAAATTGGGGAATTTTCTCTTCAGATGGTTTTATATCAGACTTTATTTACAAAAAATAGGAGCTGGGTTTAACTAAATAAAATGTCATATAATTATTAAGACACTCAATAGATACAGAATAAAACAGGTTAAAATGTTTTTAAAAAATAAAAATCAGTACTATAAAAAACTAAAGGGAAGCTTTTCAAAATGCAAAAGAAATAAGTTTAGTTTAGGTTGCAACTATTGAGAAAAAAGTTGAAATTTAGTGAAATAGTCTATAGATTTGGTCCTACAGCATAAGTAAATGTTGTAATTAGGTGTAATAAAAAAAAAAAGGTTGAGAAGAATGTAGATTAAAATAAATTAAAATATAATAAAATATTTTAAAGTGATATCTTAAGAGTAAAGCTCAAATTATGGGTTTTAATCTTAAGATAATATTGAAATAGTGTAAATACACTAGTGTTAGGTATTTGAATACAATATAGTANTATTTATAATAAATTCTTTTGACGATATTTAGAGGAAATTCAAACCCTATTATTATAAATATGATTCGTTATATATCTAAATTATTCTGAATATCGTTAATCTTAAATAAAATACCAAACGAAATTACATTTCTTTTTTTTATTATTGTATACATGTACCTTTTTTAATATAAAACTCTAATTTTATAATTTTAAACTACAATTCAATGTAATAAATTTGTAAAATCTATATTATTCACTTAAGTATATAAATATTATGCCTTTGTAAATCAGTTTCAATGTTTTTTCTTTTTACAACTAAAATCAATATAATTGTTTTTTATAAGGAGTGCAAAAAGGGAAATTTATTTATCAAAATTTAACAATTTTACATTATTAATCAATTAGCTTTCAAATCTTATAAAGGATTATAAGAGATAAGAACAAATATAGAAGATATCCTTCAAAAAATAACTTGATTATAAGCATGCTATTCTTAAGAAAATTGTACCAGAAAATTAATACAACATTACTTTTTAAAATAATTATCTTCTTATAAATTTTTAAGCTGAATAACAAATCGAATGATAAAAGCAATTATTTATAACAATCACAAAGAGTATTTTCAAAAATCAAAAAGCATTTAGGATAATTTTAAGATTTAGAATAAAATTCATGATTTTAAAAATGAAGAGATAAATGATTTGTTAAGGTTTCACATAAATTGGGGAATTTTCTCTTCAGATGGTTTTATATCAGACTTTATTTACAAAAAATAGGAGCTGGGTTTAACTAAATAAAATGTCATATAATTATTAAGACACTCAATAGATACAGAATAAAACAGGTTAAAATGTTTTTAAAAAATAAAAATCAGTACTATAAAAAACTAAAGGGAAGCTTTTCAAAATGCAAAAGAAATAAGTTTAGTTTAGGTTGCAACTATTGAGAAAAAAGTTGAAATTTAGTGAAATAGTCTATAGATTTGGTCCTACAGCATAAGTAAATGTTGTAATTAGGTGTAATAAAAAAAAAAAGGTTGAGAAGAATGTAGATTAAAATAAATTAAAATATAATAAAATATTTTAAAGTGATATCTTAAGAGTAAAGCTCAAATTATGGGTTTTAATCTTAAGATAATATTGAAATAGTGTAAATACACTAGTGTTAGGTATTTGAATACAATATAGTAAGCAATACAAAAAGAAAATTGATTTTTAACAGGCAATAGAAAAGAAATTTGTAGATTTAATGATTATTTGAAGATAATGATATAAATTATTATGTGAATTAATTGTGAAATAATTTTTTTTTTGAAGATATGAGTACATTTATATCGACAAAATAGGAATCTTTTATAGAGAGACAATTAAATACTTAGCAATCAGAGACAGTAAAATAGGTATAATTGTATGTTATGGCAGTATACATCTTACACAACTGAACCTACTTTGTTAAAGGAAGACTATGCAGTTAAGAAAATAGAGAGACCAGAGGCTTATTAATTTTGGCATAAAAAGGAGAAATATAATTCTTATGCCAGTAGAGTGTTAAATACAAATTACAGATCGTGTTCTGTAATAAATCCTGGACAAAGTTTTCAAATAAATAATGTTGGAAGTGGAATAAGCCATTCATAGGTTGATAACAATAATGAATTTTAATGCTGTACAAAATAATAGATGGTTGTTTCTGTTGTGATAGTATCAAGAGAAGAAATAGAACAGCCATGGAGAGAAGAATGTCTTTATTTACAATCAGTAATAAAAGAATTAGAAAAAAAGAAAGAAATCAAAGTAGTAAAAGAAATAGATTATGCAAGAGTATTAAATAATAATATATTGCAAGATTAAGGAACTTGAAGAGGAAAATCAACATTTACAATTAGAATTATAGTAAGTATAAGAGAGTACTTTAATAACAGAAAGAGTGACATAGAATAATAGTGAAGTTGAAGTGTGGAAGAGGAAGTTCTAAGAAGTGAATCATGATTATAATGAGGCTCAAGAGAAGCTGATGAATGTCGAAATTGAATTGGAAGCCTTAAAGAAGGAGAAAGCCAGAGTATTAATAAAAAATATCCTAGGCAGCCACTGCAACTACAACAGTTACTAGATCAACTGTACGAACAGGCACTTCAAGTGTTAGATAGGCAGGATAAATTTGATATCGATCATCTATTAAATTGGATATATATTAAATAATTCTTATTGTTAATCATTCTTCCTCTATTAATACTTATTTTTTATTTTAGAGAAATCTTATTTTCAACATCTCCTTATATATCAAATTGCCTAAGACTAAAAATACAAAACCAACTAATTCTATTAAATTAGCCCATTTTGATGTATTTTCCCATACTCTCGAAGTTGTAGCAGTGACTATTAGTCCAATACCCCAAATCAAAATTGTCCTGATAGTGTCAACAACTGTGCGAGTAAGAGCTGAAACATACTTAGTGACATTAACACCAAAAATGTTAAAAAGAGCAATGCTAAAGATACCCATAACGACAGATACTGTCAACCATACATCTGCTCCTAATTGTTGGAAAAATACATCAGTACATTCCCAATATCCCTTTTCGTTTCGAAATACACATCCTTCTTTAAAATTGCATGGTGTAAAATTGAGGATAGGCATAACAATACCAAAATATAATAATCCCCACATTCCTTCAACACCCACAACATAGAATACATGATAATTATATTATTAAAATAGTTTTTCTTCGAAAATATATTGGGCTGCTTAAGTGAATAGGGAAACTATAATTAAAGCTATTGATATCAATTTTATTTCCCAACTAAAATCATCAGATTTTGCTTTTCTAAATAAAAAGTTTGACAATCCTACAATGAATATACCTAATATGGCCAATAATATTCCAAATTGTTGCTGATTTGACAATTTTTTCTTTAGTACAAATTTTGAAAATGCGGCTGTTACTATCATAAGCTAGATGGTTATATTCATACTCCTCCTCTCAACATTTGATAAATAGATGATGGAATGAAATTTAAGGCTACATGTTGTAAAGATGATGTAATCCCATCAAACAAGGCTGGGATTGACAATATTTTAAATCCTCCGTCTTCTTTATTTGGATCTTTCTCAGCTTTCATTTAAAATGCAAAATAGAAAACTAAACAAGTTGCTTCACCTACAAACATGCATAAAGCCTATTTTTCTTATATTACTAATACTTGCATATAAGGGTGTATAAAAGTCACTCCATCTATTACTGTTGTATTTTAATACTTATAGACCAAAGTATTGAAAGTACCCACTAAAATCATGCCTACCAATAATGAATTTATGAAAAAAACACTTTTCTATTCATTATTCGTCATTTATTTAATTTATTTATTTAAAAGTTTAACATATGCTTTTTTAATTAATCAATTATTGTTCAAAAGGTTTTCATTACATTTACATACTTGTTTACTTAAAGTATAACTCTTTATTGCTTTAATTTTATTAAGACAGCATATAGTAAAAAAATAATACGATAATTAAAACTATGAAGTCGAATGAAATTAAAAATATAACCATAAATAGAAACAATGTCATAATTCATTTCCAATCGTTACCCAATTCTTTCTGACATTATTTCTTCTACCAAATATCTCCAAATAATATCCTTGAATATAATTATATGTTTACCATTTGGAACTAATTATTCAACATATTAATATATTTCCTCTGGTTTCTGACTTTAGCCCCTCCTTTCACTAAAGATAATATCACTTGCTACACCTTATCTAAATCTTTTGGGATCTAAATTTATGTTACCCTATTTTATATAAATAATCATAATAGTTACCTTTACACCAACTAAACAGTTTTCTTTTGCATGCTATAAGTAAAATCCATGTCCTTTAGCTATCTTACCATTGACAGTCTTCTTACACCATATAATTTCATCTATTAATTTGTAACCCCATTATTCAATTAACTTACATGTTACCTTATATTTAGCATTAATAGTCCTTAATAATAAATTTATAAATTTACCATATTAATATAATACCATTCTCCTACAATGTTTCTATTGGCATTTTACTAATATTTTCATCAGCCAAAGAAGAATAAGCGATAGCAACTCCTCTTGATGGCTATGAACTTGACAATTGCCAGGGTGGATCCATCATGATTACATCAAACAATTGTCCTGCTATTTTCAATTGCTCATCTCTTAATTTCTTAAATTATCACGAATTAAATTTACTTAAAAATCCATTAGTCTGACATCAGTACAAATTGGAATGGCATCATTGTGAACAAAACTCTATTTTGTATGATTCTCATGATATTCTTGAATGTATTTCATTTTGTAATATTTAATTCTTTGCTCTACTTACTTTTTTAAATCCCTCAACATTGCCTCGGAGTTAGGCAATTTGTCTACATATATATAATCTTCATCCTATTTATTATATTCTAAATATTACTTCAATAGTCTCTTGTTTTTTGTTTTTCTTTGCCTTTTCTTCTTCCTCTGATTCCTCCAACTCCTCCACATCCACAACTTCTTCTTCTTCCTCAGAATAAGATGGATCTTCTAATTTCACTTTTTTACAGATCTCCTCTTCATCAGACTACATTCAAATATGAACTTACATTATCTATAACTAACTTTGATTTCTTCTTTAGCTAATCTTCTTATTGCATTACCCGCCTCTTTTTAATTATTAATTATATTTTTTACCCGCATAAATCCAGCGTTATAAAGCTCCAGATTATTCAAGTTTGTATATCTGTAGTTTAAATTTCAACTTTCACATTAATCTCTCTTTTTCTACATTAAACAAATGTCAATAAGAAAATTTTCTTATTTTTAATTAAAAAAAATCTATTAATATTATTTTTAATATAAAACTATTCATTAGAATCATAAAATATATGTCCATTATAATTCAATTAAATTGCTATTAAAATAATTAATTGAAAACACTAATATAAGTTATCATTTTATAAATAAAATTATTACTTATATCACAATAATCTACTCTTTATGCGTCCTAAAAGTAAATTTCATAAATACTATTTGATTAATATAAATATTAAACAATGAATTTCATGCCCATAAATTATTAATTTATGATACATATTTAAAAATTTAATCATTATAATTAGACATGATAAATTAGATAGAATATTATACTTATATTTTTAAATTGATTGAAAAATAACTTAGACCTTAAGAATTCATATAGAAATATTCCATAATTCAACAAAAGCTTAAAACAGTGAAACATAAAAAAAAGAAATNACCATTGACAGTCTTCTTACACCATATAATTTCATCTATTAATTTGTAACCCCATTATTCAATTAACTTACATGTTACCTTATATTTAGCATTAATAGTCCTTAATAATAAATTTATAAATTTACCATATTAATATAATACCATTCTCCTACAATGTTTCTATTGGCATTTTACTAATATTTTCATCAGCCAAAGAAGAATAAGCGATAGCAACTCCTCTTGATGGCTATGAACTTGACAATTGCCAGGGTGGATCCATCATGATTACATCAAACAATTGTCCTGCTATTTTCAATTGCTCATCTCTTAATTTCTTAAATTATCACGAATTAAATTTACTTAAAAATCCATTAGTCTGACATCAGTACAAATTGGAATGGCATCATTGTGAACAAAACTCTATTTTGTATGATTCTCATGATATTCTTGAATGTATTTCATTTTGTAATATTTAATTCTTTGCTCTACTTACTTTTTTAAATCCCTCAACATTGCCTCGGAGTTAGGCAATTTGTCTACATATATATAATCTTCATCCTATTTATTATATTCTAAATATTACTTCAATAGTCTCTTGTTTTTTGTTTTTCTTTGCCTTTTCTTCTTCCTCTGATTCCTCCAACTCCTCCACATCCACAACTTCTTCTTCTTCCTCAGAATAAGATGGATCTTCTAATTTCACTTTTTTACAGATCTCCTCTTCATCAGACTACATTCAAATATGAACTTACATTATCTATAACTAACTTTGATTTCTTCTTTAGCTAATCTTCTTATTGCATTACCCGCCTCTTTTTAATTATTAATTATATTTTTTACCCGCATAAATCCAGCGTTATAAAGCTCCAGATTATTCAAGTTTGTATATCTGTAGTTTAAATTTCAACTTTCACATTAATCTCTCTTTTTCTACATTAAACAAATGTCAATAAGAAAATTTTCTTATTTTTAATTAAAAAAAATCTATTAATATTATTTTTAATATAAAACTATTCATTAGAATCATAAAATATATGTCCATTATAATTCAATTAAATTGCTATTAAAATAATTAATTGAAAACACTAATATAAGTTATCATTTTATAAATAAAATTATTACTTATATCACAATAATCTACTCTTTATGCGTCCTAAAAGTAAATTTCATAAATACTATTTGATTAATATAAATATTAAACAATGAATTTCATGCCCATAAATTATTAATTTATGATACATATTTAAAAATTTAATCATTATAATTAGACATGATAAATTAGATAGAATATTATACTTATATTTTTAAATTGATTGAAAAATAACTTAGACCTTAAGAATTCATATAGAAATATTCCATAATTCAACAAAAGCTTAAAACAGTGAAACATAAAAAAAAGAAATAAAATAATGTTAGTAATAAACTTTATTTATAAGCTTTGGGAAAAAATAATGTAGAAAAAGAATAAATTGTTAATAAAAAGTGATAAATATGATTATGAATTTTTATTAAGAAAATGAAGAAATATTTTAATTATGAGTATATCTCAGGAATTTTAAATCCTTAATATATAATATTTATATAGAAATATATCACTTACTTTCAAAGACACAAAATGCATTCGATCTAACAGTTTCAACTTTGACTTCTGGTCCCACCATAGTTCTTATATCTCTAATATCATAATAAATCATAGTTGGTCTTTCTAATCCCAATCCCCATGCAATTACATTCACATCCTCTGGAATTCCAAGAGGTGCCAACATTTCAGGTCTAAATACACCAGAATTGCCAATCTCTACTTTCTTTTTTAGAACAGGATGATATCCTAATATAATTTATAATATATTTTACCATAAATTTCCATACTTGGTTCAGTATATGGATTATATGTAGGCTTAAACCACAATTTATTAATTCCAATTTACCTGAAGAATTCTCTGATGATTCCCATCAATTATCCTAATGAAGCATTCTTGTCAATGACAATACCTTCGATTTGATGGAATTCAGCTAAATGAGTAGCATCTAAAGTTTCATTTCTAAAAACTTTATCAATGCTAAAATATTTTTTAGGAAAATATCCCTTCTCTTTATACAATTATGCTATTCTATATAACATTTTAGATGAGACAGCTGTTGTATGTGTTCTTAATATATTTTTTCTGGCTTCTTCATGTGACCATTCATATTGATATCCAATACTACCTACACCTCCTGTCTAATGCATAGACTTTACTTTATCTCTAAGATTTATATCAACTTCTTCACTTAATTCTGGGTCACTGCAAAAGAAAGTATCATGAGCATCTCTTGCTGGATGTTTTTATGGTTAAAATAGAGCATCAAAATTCCAGAAAGAAGATTCTACAAATTGATTTGTTGGCATTTCTTCAAATCCTAATCCAATCAATATTTATGAAAACTATTTCCTTACTTTCAATAAAGGATGCAAATTACCCATAGAAACTATTATTATAAAATAAGAATTATTACTCTTTTCACCTTCAGCATTTAAATTAATGCTTTTATAATCACACTCTTTCCATTCTCCATTTAATAATTACTCTGTAGTTAAAGCTGCAAATTATTCTCTGAATTTGTTAGCATATTTAATGCCTTTTTTTATTTCAAAATATTTAATAGTTTAAATCATGGCAAGTTTCCTTTCAATTAATAATTTTGCTTATTATGAGCCTAATTTGATAGTGTTTAATTATTATAATTCCAATTTAATTTTATCAGGTAAATCATTAGCAACTTTAGTTATAAGCCCTTTATCCATTTTGATATAGCCCATTTTCTTAGCATTACCAAAACCTAAGTCAAATTACTTTTTTTTTGGATCTTCAACTTATTTTTCTTTTTTCTCTCCTTATTCTTATTTCACTTTTTAAACTTATTCAATTCCAAATAACTTTTATAAATCTACCATTGAGATTCCTAATTCTGGTATTTTCTAATAGATTTCATATTCTCCTGATTAAGAATTTAATATTGTATTTCCTTCATCAGTTAAGATTATTTAATCCTATTTTAATCCCTATTTATTATTATGATTCTTTTTACTTCTGTCTTAATATAATTGGCAGATTCTAATTGCAACAGACATCCAACTAGATCTTAATGATTAATAGACAAAGATTTGGCTATTTCCAAAGAGTTTAAGGTTTCTGTAGACTCTAATTGAGTCAGAATGGTGTTTGCATAATCTTACTTTTAATCCATAAATATATTAATTTATATAAAAATCTCAAACATTTGGACCAAATGATTTTCCTTTAAAGTATCCTGTTAACATGTAAATTTGAGAAATGCATATGACAATTAAAGCTCCCATTTTACCTGCTGAACACCACCATAATTTTTTTTCTGTTGATTCTAACATTCTTTAATGTTCATTCTCTCTATCATTTTAATAATGTTAATTATTTTATATTGTCTTTAAACTTCTATAAGCCTATTTCATCTCTTCAGCCATTTAATCCATTGTTTCTATTTATATAAAGATATTAATATACCTGCCAATGCTAAATCATTTTCCTCTACAAAATCAAAGTTAAAACTAATCAATTTATAATATTTATCTAATGATTTGAAGCAAACTTCATATTATCCATCATCTGTCATTATTTCTTTATAATTGCCTTCTTTTTATTTTATACTAGATTTCAAAAGAGTTTTTCTTGGAGAATAGAACTAAATGTAAATANACTTAATTCTGGGTCACTGCAAAAGAAAGTATCATGAGCATCTCTTGCTGGATGTTTTTATGGTTAAAATAGAGCATCAAAATTCCAGAAAGAAGATTCTACAAATTGATTTGTTGGCATTTCTTCAAATCCTAATCCAATCAATATTTATGAAAACTATTTCCTTACTTTCAATAAAGGATGCAAATTACCCATAGAAACTATTATTATAAAATAAGAATTATTACTCTTTTCACCTTCAGCATTTAAATTAATGCTTTTATAATCACACTCTTTCCATTCTCCATTTAATAATTACTCTGTAGTTAAAGCTGCAAATTATTCTCTGAATTTGTTAGCATATTTAATGCCTTTTTTTATTTCAAAATATTTAATAGTTTAAATCATGGCAAGTTTCCTTTCAATTAATAATTTTGCTTATTATGAGCCTAATTTGATAGTGTTTAATTATTATAATTCCAATTTAATTTTATCAGGTAAATCATTAGCAACTTTAGTTATAAGCCCTTTATCCATTTTGATATAGCCCATTTTCTTAGCATTACCAAAACCTAAGTCAAATTACTTTTTTTTTGGATCTTCAACTTATTTTTCTTTTTTCTCTCCTTATTCTTATTTCACTTTTTAAACTTATTCAATTCCAAATAACTTTTATAAATCTACCATTGAGATTCCTAATTCTGGTATTTTCTAATAGATTTCATATTCTCCTGATTAAGAATTTAATATTGTATTTCCTTCATCAGTTAAGATTATTTAATCCTATTTTAATCCCTATTTATTATTATGATTCTTTTTACTTCTGTCTTAATATAATTGGCAGATTCTAATTGCAACAGACATCCAACTAGATCTTAATGATTAATAGACAAAGATTTGGCTATTTCCAAAGAGTTTAAGGTTTCTGTAGACTCTAATTGAGTCAGAATGGTGTTTGCATAATCTTACTTTTAATCCATAAATATATTAATTTATATAAAAATCTCAAACATTTGGACCAAATGATTTTCCTTTAAAGTATCCTGTTAACATGTAAATTTGAGAAATGCATATGACAATTAAAGCTCCCATTTTACCTGCTGAACACCACCATAATTTTTTTTCTGTTGATTCTAACATTCTTTAATGTTCATTCTCTCTATCATTTTAATAATGTTAATTATTTTATATTGTCTTTAAACTTCTATAAGCCTATTTCATCTCTTCAGCCATTTAATCCATTGTTTCTATTTATATAAAGATATTAATATACCTGCCAATGCTAAATCATTTTCCTCTACAAAATCAAAGTTAAAACTAATCAATTTATAATATTTATCTAATGATTTGAAGCAAACTTCATATTATCCATCATCTGTCATTATTTCTTTATAATTGCCTTCTTTTTATTTTATACTAGATTTCAAAAGAGTTTTTCTTGGAGAATAGAACTAAATGTAAATATTTCTATTTTACTTTCATCTCAATATTATCTTCTTAAAATCCAGAAACTACAAAAGAGATCTAAAATAATGCTGTTTTCTTGCCTTAGACTCCCAAACATAATTCTTTCCCACCATCTAATCCAGTTGAAAGTGCTTAAATGGTTGAAAGTAAGAGAAGCAAAAACATTGATTAAATAAATTATTAAAACGTGTTATTTTTAATAATAATTATTTCAATTCAATTTGTAATTATTTTAATTCAAATCGTATCTTTAATATTCTCAGAACTCAATAATTTTATACTCTTCTAATACATATATTTATTCTCCTTTAATAAATTTATTATATAATTAATATTCTTTTTATATGTAATTCAAGAAAAGTGAAAATGCAAAGATGAGATCTTCTTTACTACACTAAAATCTAATATTTACACATTTATTTAATAAACAAGATAAAAAATGAGAATAACATTTGGATTAGAATAATTTAGTCTAACAAAACCAATATCATTATTTTGAAATTTAGATTTTAAGAAGTGAATTTGACTATATTTTTAGAATTAAATGCTTTGAAAGGTTTAATTTAGAATAATCAATAAATCTTAAAATGATTATTTTGATTTTATTGTTATTCTTTGATTATATTTAGAAAGATCAGAACCTTTTATATTCAATTCATACTAGTTTGGGATTTCAAAGTATAAAATGAGAAAAGATAGAGCTTATATAAGTTAATTCTTCATTTAAAAAATGAATTTTTGATAGATGAAACAATAAATCTTTTTTAAAAAATGAAACAATAACAAAAAATAATTAAGTAAGGTTGATATTTAAGGATGATTAATGATTGTTTATTTATGATAAATTTAATAACAATGATAATCATTTACCTTTGACAGGTAAGAAATATGGATGATCCATTGCATCTTTTGGTGTAATTCTGAGGGCCTGAAATAAGAGAGTAGTTTTACATGATCATAAACAAGCATTCTTGAGAGAATATCAATAGCCTCATCACTACACAAATGTTTATTTTCAGCATTAATAAATTTAACCCATTCCTTTTTTGGATAACTAATAAAACAGAGATTATAAATTTACTTTCCTAATTTAGATTCTAATACAGGATCTAATCTAATTCTATATTTCTTAATATATGCTTGTAATTCTTCAGTTCCTAAAACTTTAGAAATCACAACTAATTAGTCATAATTATCTTATCCTTAAAAAAATGGTTCTTTTTTAAAGATCTAAGATTATGTTAATTAAATACCATAGATGCCATCATTGCTCCAGTACTCCATATATCCAATGAATAATCATAATATACATTATCAACTAATAATTCTGGTCCTTTAAAATAACGTGAAGCTACTCTAACATTATAATCTTATCCTGGATGATAATATTCAGCCAAACCAAAATCAAGTAATTTTAACAATTTCTTTTTTGGATCCACAATTATATTTTATGGTTTTACATCTCTATGCATTATACCTTTTGAATGACAATAATCTAAGGCTTTAATTAATTCGAAAAGGTAGAATCTTATTTCAATATCAGTTAATTTAGGGAACAAACTTCTAAAATCAACATGATCAATGTAATCAAAAATCAAACATGGTGTTTTAGATGATGGATCTCTAACAATGTCTGACAATTCTATAACATTTGGATGACCTCTAATTGTGAGTAATATTTTAGTTTCTCTTTTTATTTTCTATTTCTTCACTGGTTTCAACACTTTTATTACTACTCTTGTCCCTTATGGATATTTGATTCCTTCATATACATCTGAATATTTCCCTCTTCCAATCTTCCTTATCACTTCATATTAATCACTATCCTATAAATATTAATTATTTTGTTTATACTCCCCATTCATTCTCAAAATTATCATAATCCCAATATTCCTTTGGTTGACTCTTATTGAAATTTGCATAATACTTTGGAGGTATTTACAAAATTTAATTCATATTATTAATGTAACAAATATAAATACAAACTGCCACTCAAGACAAAGCTGCATACGCTCGAAATGCATAAAAAATTATTGATTAACTCAAAGCTAATGATCTTGAATTAATTGATGCAACTCTTGAATATGCTCTCCAAGTTTTTAATTCAAATGAACCACCCTTAAGGAAATTATTAATCTTGAGAGTATTATCAATCATATCTTAGTTAATCAAAGATGCAATCGTCATCAAATCTGCAAAATTTATAAATAAATACATTTAAACTAGACCTTTGTTAACATTCATTGGAAATATATGTACTCATAAATTAGGTGATTCTAATCCTAATCGTGGTGCTGATCTATTTTAAGGATAAGGTTCTATTTGATATTATTAATTTAGATCCCTAATCAAGTATTGAATTCTTAAATTTGGCACTTGAATTGGTTGACTTCCTAGCTACAACATTTCCAAAAGATTCAAAGGGTGCACCTACTAAATTCAAAATCTAATATGATGAATTAGTCTAAATGGGAGTACATGTTTCATTAAAAAAATTAGGTTAAATTCCCACCTAAATCAAGTCTCATTTTGCCATTTGATCCCAACAAGGCTTCCCAAGAACCTATATAAAAACCACTTAACAATAATAAAGAGAGAGATGAGACCATGCTTAAACTAAGTAACAATCAGTTATTACTTAAGATTAAAGCAAATAAAACATTTATCAAGATATTGAGATGATCAATGAAACCTTGGTTAATGATTCTGATATGTCATATATCAATGAAGTATTAGTGACTTATAGTGAATCTATGAATGTTATAGAAAAATAATTTGAAAATCTCATTAATAAAGCCTAACAATATGATGGTGTTTTAAATGAAGATGAAATAGCAGAATTATATGCTTTAAAAGATTTCGTATTGAAATTTTAATAATACTATTATGCTTATCTTGAAAAGGAATGTACTCCTGTTGCTTATAATTCATTAAAAAAGAAAACCTTAGCTCATATTTAGAAGATATAAAATAAAGATTTTGATTATCCTCCTCCATAATAATAAAAATAATCAAGATAATAACAAGTTTAGTAATCCTAATTATAAAATGAAGATGAAATGCTGAAAAGAGCAATTGAAGAATCTAAAATACAATAATAAAATTCTTAAATTTAATAAAAATAACTTGAAGAATAATTAAAATAAGAGGAAATTAAGAGATAATAAGATGAAGTATTACGTTAAGCAAAACTTAGAGAAGAATAAATAAAATAGGAATATTTGAGGGCTGAAGAATAAAGAAGAGAAAATGAAAGAAAAGAACATGAGAGAAGGGAAAATGAAAGAAATGAATAAATTAGATAAGAATAATTAAGATTGGAAGAAAAAAGAATGGAACAATAAAAATTACAATAATTAAAATAAGAATAAAATAGATTAGAAGCAATATAATAATAACAATAATAAATGAAATAAAAAGAAATTGAAGATTATTGGAATAATTAATTTCAAACTCCTAATCCAGATAATTAATAATATATGACACCTACAAAATTAGGATCATATACAATGCCTTAATAATAATAATAATAATAATAATAATAATAATAGTAATATTAATAATAATAGTAATAATAATAATAATATACTTAATCATATATGTAATCATCATTTTAATAATAAAATGGAACAATTAATAATAATTTTATTTATTCTACAATTGATTAATAATAACAATAAAAATAACCTATTAGATAAACTAATGCTAACTAATTTGAATAAAATTACAATAATTCATAAATACCAAATTAATAATATTTACATGGTTAAAATACAAGAGAATAACTTCCAATGAATCATATTACATCTAATATTATAAAAAAAAAGGAATTTGATGAAAATTTTGATGGATTAAGTTAATCTACTTTAACCTAAACATTTTTCCCTTTGAAAATGGATCAATAAATTCCTATCAAATAATATATAGGAAAATTTGTTAAATATGATAATTCTTAATTTGAATTATTACATACATATGGTTTAACAGAATCTCAAAAGAAACGTTTCAAAATAGCTACTATAAAGGGTAGAGCAGCATTAATAAATTCTCCCTAACTTTAAATTGGAGTTAAATAAGCATTACAATATGTTCCTTTAAAAGAGAAAAACTATTTAAAGCTAACCTTATATATAGGAAATAAAACTTAATCAAATTTTGAGAATTGTAAAATGTAATTTGAAGGAGATAATAAATGTAAATATTATGTATATTTACAGAATTTTCAATGTGGTTAAAACCAGATAAGATAGTAGATAAAATTGAAGCAGGGTAATAAATATAATAGGAAGTGATAGGAATATTTAAATAGTATGAAAACTATAGATTAGTAAATGTAATATTTTCTGGTATATAATTATTATATATATATTAATAGCTGAATGGGCTAACAAACAAATATCATCAAATTTCTTTTTAACAACCACATTAATTTCTTTTATGGATTTCAAAGATATCAGTTTATAAGTATTTAGGACAAAATGGAGATAAAAGAAAACATCAATTTTGAGAGGAGAAACATTTTTACTTAATCCTAAAATAGTGAAAACAGGACAATATTTAAAAAAGTAGTTAATTTGATAGAATTTAGGATATTTCCAAAGTTATGTGAATTTAACACATATTAATCATTTTAAGACCAATCATTTGATTACTTTAGTGATAGATAATTGAAATATATTTCTTATAAACTTTGTAACAATTAATTTTAAATTAGGTGGAATTTTTGAACTGACTAATGTGAATTAAAATTACATGATTAAATTTATAGTTTTGCCAAATATGCAATGTACAATATAAATAATTGGAAATAATGAACATTTATGTAAATAAATGTTGAATACACTTAATTGGATATTAGGTTTAGAATGATAAATTAATATGATTTAATAAATTATCTTGTTAAAACAATATGACAATTATAAGTTATGTCTAATATAATTTTTATTAAAATACATCAATCTCATTTCTATCATTAATAATTATTAGATTACAATACTTTTACATAAGAGATTCTAAGGATTTTATGTTTAAGGAAAGTGACTAGTGACACTAATTGATATTAGATAACATATTTATATATTTCAAAGAAAATAATCAGGTACTCTTCTAGTTGTATGGGGTTCATTTTCTCGAGGGGCAGGCTCAAATTAGGTTCTAGAATAGAAAAATAAATTACTGATTCATTCTGAGTTATTCATCGACTTCTACTATGCAAGCTTAATTGCCACAACGATAACAGTAATTGGGAGCAGAGAAGATAGTAATAGTCTTTTAATTATGGATTTTCTAAATTCCTTCCATCACTAATTAATGTGCTCTGGCAATTTATTTGAGTTTGTTGGAATGTAGGAATTTTTCAGTGATATCACATCCCCAAGTCCAACCTGCACCTCTTGGTGAGATACCCCAACCTGAAGAGGTATTAAGAAAAGACCATACCATTTTTTGTTTCTTCAGGATCACTCCATAGAAGATCACACATTAAACCTTCATGAGGGATGTCTTAGACTCTATTCAATTATTTAATTTGATCAACTGATTCCATTGCTGGTGATAGACCTCCATGAGCACAAAAAATCTTTGGTCAAATTAGAATTTATGTTACTTGTTATTCTACGATTGCAGATATAGGTAAATATCCAAATACTTCTGTGAATTGCTTCCAAACTATTTCATTACCATATTTACGGAAACATTCATCATAAAAGCCATATACTTTATTGATTTCTCTGTTTTCATGATTTCCTGTAAGAATATTATGATTAATACCTCTTAATAATACAATGCGATCTTTATATCTGACTTTTAGTGAGAGCATTAATGAGAATGTTTCTACAGATTGCGAACCTCTATCTACATAATCTCCCAGAAATAAGTAATTTGTATCCTAAAACAGATTTGCAAAATGTAAATACTGGTAAGTTTCCTCCAATTTAAAAGAGTTCTATTAAATCATGGAATTGACCATGGATATCTCCACAAATCGTAAGGGGTGCTCTAACTTAAATGATATTAGGTTCATCTGACAAAATCTCTTTTGCCTAAGTAATTGCAATATACTAAAACTTTAATGCATAAACTCTTGATTTCTGATTCTGTCAATATTTATCCTTGCTTTAATTTAGCGATTTATCTATCAACATTACCAATATCATTGCTACTTAATTTATTTAGCGAAGCCATTTAATATAAATTATTCGAACAGAATAATAAATAAGATATATATATATATAATATATACATTAGAAATTATATTAAATACTTACTATATGGATGCAATAACATTCTATTCAATCTATTCTCTATTTCTATTAATTATTAATAAAGACAGAATAGAAATGATCATATCAAAATTAAACAAATAATAATATGAATTTTTATATAAATATAAGGTATCAGTTATAATAAGATTTTTATTCTTATCTTTTACAAAATTTGATCTAATTATCAAATAAATAAACATCATGAGTTCGACATACTATAATAAATATTATATTCTGTCAAAGAAACATATTAAAAATGCTGAAACAAATAATATTTTTGATTAACTAATATTATAAATATAAAATACAATAAAATTATGTGGATACTTTGTTATATTGCTTTAAATATAAGAATAAAGAAGTTAACTATTTGAAATTGCCTTAATTTTCCAGCTCTTCATTTGTTCTAATAGATATTCCTATTTTTTCATGATTAAGTTAAACAGAAAAATTTGAAATAGTATCTATTATTTCAATTTCTTAAACTTTATTAATATATTAAAATATAATAATTAATCAGTATTTAATAAATAAATATTTAAACTTGTATAAGTTTTTGATTAATATTTTATTTAACTAGATTTATAATAATGAAAAAAATCTGAAACTTATAGGTAGAATAATGACTTATAATTCAAGACTTAAAAATAATCAGAAAAAAAGAATAAATATAAAATAGATAGATAAAATTTAAATAAGTATATATATCTGAAATCCTTTTGATTCACTAAACTTTACAATATTATATAGAGATTTACTTATGATTTAATATCACAAAAATTTACAATTTGATTACGTAAGTTCAATCAGTAAATTAATAAGATATTAACAATAATAATAATAATATTTAATTCTAAATCATTTACTTATATATTTTTGAATTGTCTAAACATTTATAAATTTATTTTATATAATTAATTTAAATGGATAATAAAAGCAAAGGAAGTTCAAAAAGCAGAAAAGAGTTAGGAGGTATGATTGAATATACAATAATAGATGAGTTGAGTTTAAAAGGAGTCTCATTATTTAAATTGGATGTTAATTATGATCATTTGAAACAATTTTTAGAAGGAGTATAGGCTGATCTTGATAATCATACAGTAGAAATTGAAGGCATTAAAAAATTACTTGGACCCACTGAAATCATATTATTAGTTAAAGTTAGATCTTATTTAGGTTCAAGAATAATTTCAATTATTAAGTGATTCATTGCAGTTTTCAGATAAGGATATAGAGAAAGAATTATCAACTTAATTAAGCACATATATTACACAAATTTAAGGGAAATAAAAGTATGGAAAGGGAGCTCTAGAGAAAATTATAACTGAATTAAGAGGAAAGTTATTTTCAGTTATCTCAATGATTTAACATCTTTATAGAGAGAAGAAGGTATATATTAATATTAATAGTAGAGACAAGATTAACGTTTAACAAAATTAGAAAATGATATGTTAACAAAGTTTGATACTAAAGAATGTAAAGAGAAGATGAGAAAATAAAAAAATCAATTAGAATAGTAGATTGAAGATTTATAGAAGAATAGTAGACATGAATTAGATACTGTTGAAAAGAAACTATCAACTGATATATAAAAATTTGAAGAGGCAGTTAGAGATGTAGAAAGGTATATTAATTTAGTTTAAATATAAGAAAAACTTTATGGAAAATACATGATTGTTAAGATTTATTATCTAAAAGAACAAATGAAGAATTTGTTAATGAGGCTATTAGAACTAGTGAAGATAAATTATTAAAAGAAGTATATTGAATTATTGAATTTTAGATTTAATAAATGTAAAATAATGATCAATTGATTAAATTTTAATAAGATATTGCATATATTAGAAGTTAAATTAAAGGTATTGATGACACAGTTGGAGAAAAACAATCAAAATTAAAAATATAATTAAATGAAATGAACGACTTGTAAATTTATATTAATATTTTAAGATTAAAATCTAAAATAAATTTAATTGATAAATTAGTAGAATAGAATAAACAATAAGGAGATAAAATAATAGATTTAAATAGTAGATTAGCTACTGCTATAAATAAATTGGATGTTTCAAATCAATTAGATTAACATAGATAAAAAATTAAATAATTAGAAGATGGAATTTAAAGATTAAATGATGAAGCTAAAGAAAGAGTAGAAGCATTAAAGGATATGAATTTAAATGCTGAAAATGTAGCTTATCTATTATCTAAAATTGATCCTCATAAAATTTGTACACTTGAAGGAGATATAAAAAAATTAGAAGAAATGTCAATTAGAAATAATGTACATTGGGAAACTCTTGATTCAGAATTTAAAACACGTTATGATAGTTTCCAATTCTTTTCATAATTATATTAATAATAATAACAATAATAATAATAATCAACTTCAGAAGAATCAAAATATGTTACAAAAGATGAAATCAATAGAATGTTTGAATAATTTCAATAATAAGGAAATCTAGAAGATGATAAAATTAAAAAGATCTAAAAAGATCTTTAAGATATAAGTCATAAAGTTGAAAGTGCAAATGAAATAGAAAGAAGAGTGAATAGAATATTTAGAGATGTTGATATTAATGGATTAATGAAATAAGTGAAAACTAAGGCCAATGAAGATGATATGAAAAGAGAATTATTTAATTTAGAAACTAGATTAGGATAAGCTATGGAAACTATCAATTATTTAAGAAGAGAAATAGAAGCCTTATAAGGTAATTTATTATATTTATTGAATAGTACAATTAAAAAAATCACCTATGAATTTCTAATAATCAGCATCACCACCTACTGATTAAATTATAGGAATCAACACTAAGAAACTTTATCCCATTAATTGTCTAAGTTGTAGCACTACTAATTAATAAAGAGTAATGTTTTTATATATTTTAGGTAAAAGGAACTGATGGAAAATATTATTAAGCTGATATGAAAAGATAAACTATTGATTAATAATAGTTTTATGATCTCTAATAAGATGAATCATAATAATTCAATTAACTAAATTATGTATAAAGACCATAATCAGCAGTAGTAAATAAATAAAGTAATGGTGTTAAAAGACCTATAAGTGCTAAAAAATGATTAAATAAGTATATTTTATAAAAATCCAAATTTGCCACTAAATATATTAATTTTGAGAATTGAACTAACAAAAATTGTATTAATTATATGATTATATCTTCTTCTAAAGAAATTTAATAAATTGATTTGGATTTTAATTGAAATAATCATTTTGCTGATTTGAAAATAGTAAATCTCTTTTATTCAATTGTTGCATCTAAGTACATATGATCAAAATGAAATAATCTTGATCCATAATTAGCATCTTTGTCTGTTACAAAACAACACCACCATCCTCCATATTTTTGACACAATACATTTGCAATTTAATTGCACACTTCTCCCAAAAATTATTTATGTACTTAAATAGCATTTTTAACAATTGTGACTATTTCATTTTAAATTTAATCTGTAATTCCTGTTCCCTTTTCATTAATTTTAACTGATTTATCCATATATATATATGATATTAATATATTTATAATATTTCATTATTAAAATTCTAGCATTCTTTCTTCTGATTCATAATTCTATACTTATTGCTAT